GTTTTCTTACATGCAGCAAATCATCTGCTGAGGAATCGGTCTCTAGACTAGTGTCTTACGGAGAAATCCTTCAGATGTCTCAACAACAGATGCTCTTCTTGTCAGCAAGTTTGGACTGCAAGGGGCACAACAATAATAAGAGAGAAGAAAGGTACTTAGGATAACATTTAGCTTCCTGCCAGACTAATTAAGTTATGGGGCCTTGAAATGATAATAATGTACTACTATTAAAAAAAGAAAAGTGATCCATATGTATAGGTGTAGCCCATTTTGCCTGATCTTGCTTGCAGAAAATAATAGAAGAATCGATACGGAAGCCAGTGAATAAAGTAACCACAGAATAGGAATTATTTTGTAACCCTATTCAAGGATTATAGTTTTGTGGAAAAGACGTCATTTCAAACAAAACTCATTTCTTTGTGCGAGGAGATTACTTTGCAGTTGATATGGTAACTATGTAGATAGATAGAATACATTCGCTGTTATCCATTGTTGCTGTTAGGCATTTGAATTAAAAAGTGACACTCTGCAATGGATTAAGAACTGCCTGATCTCACAGAGCAGGTATTAGTGGAAAGTCACCATAAGCAGGAGCATTTCTGATGCAACTGTAAGAGGAATATATAGTAGTCCTGGTGCTATTCAAAATTTCCATGAATCATGTGGGCATAAATGTAAAATCTTTGCTGATAAAATCTGTGGACAAAGAAAAAGATAGAATAATATGTAATGTTGAGATCAAAAAGAAGTCCTTCAGATTAACCTGGATTGCTTGGAAAGCTGAGTCTTTTTATAGAATATGTACTTAAACTCATATTGCTTTGACTGACTTTAAAGGAAAAGACTGACTGTATAAAATATACAAAATTTTGTTTCATACAATACTTGAATGGAAAAAAAAATCTATTACAAATTTTCTAACATGGCCAGAGAAGTCACAGTAAGGACCAGGGTCTGGAAACTCATGTCAGTTGGTTCATCTTCTCTTTTGCAAAATTTTGAAATATTTATAAATAAGTAGTATAGCTGCAGTGTGGATTTTATTGCTCTTTCTGATTTTCGTGTTGGCCACTCAGTGTTACAAACACTTGGAGAAGTTCCACAAACACTCACTCAAAGTTAGGTATGGCATTGGCAGAAGGAGTGTTCCTAGGGACCCTTCTTTGATGTTTAAATATCCATGTTTGCCAGGGATCTTGCTGAAAGGCAGACCAGCCAAAGAAGGGGAACAGCTCTGGTCTGCCTTTCCTCTAAACACAGCTCTGGACACAGCAATTAGGTCTGAATGCCAGTTGGCACTGCTTGTGTGCTGTCAGTTTGGGTGAACATATGGATTTGCTGTATAGTCTTGGTTCCAAAACAGGAACTAAAATAAGAAGGTGTTCACTAGCTCGTACTTCCTTGCTAGAAAGTCAAGGTTCTTTCTAATTTGACCTAGGAGAGGCTGTACGATGTCATTAAAGATTGGATCGATAATTTGTTTGTAATTAAGCAAAATTTGTTTACCTTTTCATTAAAAGTACCCTAGAGTACCTGAGATCTGTTATATTCTTGTCCCGTGTTTCTCTCAAGATATGTTAACATGTGCATTGTGTCTTACTCATGCTTACCCTTTTTTTTAATTTGGGGGAATTACTTTTTACTTTACTTTTTTTTTTCTTTGGGGGAATCTTGGTCATTTTGAGATTGTTGATGCTTTTTTTCCTGGAAAACTGTACACCTTCCAGTTCAGAGACTGAGGCTCCAACATGCTGTGTTCTGAATTGAATCAGTGCCTGTAACCAAAAGCGCATTCGTTGGAGAAGTAAAAGCAACAATATCAGCATTTGCACAGCACTATCTGCACTCCTAAGCAATCTTTTGTTGGTCTTGAATGGGTGTAGAAGTGGCATAGCTTTGACTATCGCAAATCTTCATGATTAACAGAGCTTTAAAGAATCAAAAATCCTTTTTAAAACTGAACAATATAATTGGAGGCAACAGCAGCTTAGTTTGGCTGAAACATACCCTAGAATGAAGTGATAGCTACATGATACAGAATAGACTTTAAATAGAAACCATTTATTATGACAGCAGAATAACGTTTTAATACTATTTTGTTTCCCTGTTATATTTGTCAGTTATGTCCACCAGGAATTAAAATAAATAAATAAATAAATAAGAGAGAAAAGAAAAAAGTACTGCTGACAGGACTGTGTGTTGGCATCGACTCTGGGACATGCTGGCTTTCCTGAAAGGAGAAGATATGGGTACAGATCTAAAAAGTGTCTATGCTAGAGGAACCAAGGTGATTTAGGGTGGAGGTGTAGAAGTATAGGTTGAGAAAAAAGAGGAAGGAAGCCTTACATGTGGGAATGGGTGCTCACCTATGATTTAGCATCATAGAACTGGAACCTGGTGGGAAAGAACTTTTATATCCTTTCCTCAAGGTGAAGTTTGGGATCCCAGCATAAAAATAATGAAGCTTTCCACACACTAGAAAAATAAGCAGTATTGTGGTTGGGGGAGAGAAAGCCTTGCAGCATAGAGAGCAATTTTGGCCAGATGGTGGTGACCCCCTTTGATTTACCTAGAACAGGAGAACTTTCCTGTTATGTTAGACAGCAGTGCAGAGCTCTGATGGAAAAATAACTGCACATTTTCACCTGTTGTTTAACTTGAAGAGTTAAGCAGGTTTGTGTGAAATATCCTGGGTTTCAAACCATCAGACATCAAGGAGCTAAAGAGATCTCTGGCTAAAATTCAGATGAAATATTGTCATTTCTGTCAGTCCATGTTGGCTCTTCATATGGTGAATTCTGAGTTTTATCTATAAAAACAGCAGCTACATTTGCTTTGTGCCCCTGAAAACAGTCCAGAGTTTATTGGATTGCTTGACTCAAGCAAAGACAAGTATGCATAACTTGTTCTTCCCAAAAACGTGCTGATAGCTTTACTAAAGTTGCTCTAAAAGCACATCAAATAGGTGAACTGTACAGAGCTTGACTTTTGGTTGAACGAATATTCTTTTGGAATGCTGATATAATAAAAAAGTCTCTTTAGTTCTAAATGCATCTTCCCACTCGACCAAGAAGCCCTGGGCTTTCGGACACTCGGGATAGTGACTGCTCTCTGGCCTTCCCCTTGGTGAGGTGAAGGGGTGGACAGACGCATTCAAGCCATGTTGGCCCTTGGGAGTTCAAGAAATCGCTTTTGCAGTTCCCTTTCTTTGCACTGAGCTGTGAGAGCTTCAGCTGCAGCTAATAATCTGCCCCATAAATTCAGAAACACAACGAAGTAGGGAAAATATCTGATTTCATTGCTAGGCTTAACCAAGCATTGCAGAATATCGTATATTTTTACTGCGAGGAGGAGAGGTACAGGGATCTCAGAGATACTCAGAGATATCTCAGAGATACAGAGAGATACTGCAGTGGCCTGAGAAAAAGCAGTTCTTGTCCCATGGTTTTGGAGGAAGCCTTCAAGGTTCCCTGTGGGAAGCCTCCAATCGTGGCTCACCATCGCTTACGGATCAGCCAGCCCTTGCTGCTTGCTGAGTAATGCACAAATGAAGGATACTGAAGGAATTATACTAGATACTAGTTGCAGATAATGAGAACTACTGCATGTCACTGGATGGGTATTGCAATTGCAGAAGATATGTGCATCATCGTGTGTGCAAGTAGGCAAATGAAGGAATGGGACTTGACTGTCCTTGCTTAGCGGATCTTTACATTAGTGAAAGGACATAAATGTGAGGCTGTGCATGCAGTGAAAAGTCAGGAGTACGTTTTTATATTCTCCTTAAACTGATTCCTGGAGCTAGCTGTCCCCATTGTTTACAAGTGAGAAATTGCCTATTGATCTTAGAAAACAGATTATAAATAAATGTTACTTCAAATATATTGCAGGAAAGAGGTGGATAGGTAGAAAGTTCTTACCAGGAAAGCATTCACTCATTCACTCTCACTCGTGTTGACACTAATTGGGAGCACAGAAATGGTGATGAAGCCTGGGTATTTCCACGATTTTTGAAATTTATGCTTGTGAGTGAATGTTCCTCCAAGTCTTAATCATACTTAGCGCTGCTTTTTTTTTTTTGCTTAAAAATCCTCATGGTCCCGGAGGAGTGTTGTCAAGCAGAATACAGTAAAATATGGGAGACTGGGCATCACTCACTCTCTTTAACCCTGACCTGTTAGGGGATCTTAACATAAGTAATTTAATCATCCTGTGCTTTGGATCCCCTTTCCTGTCTCATCCCCATTTCATCTCTTTAGGGGCTGTGAGTTTTTTGAGTAAGATTTGTCTTTTCTGAAAAGTTTGGACCATACCCCATTCTCAGCTAGATCTCCAGAAGTTGACACAATACAAATAACTCTCCTGCCAGTGTGTTTGACTTTAAGGTTGTGAGAATGTTTTTTCTTGTATTTCATATGTTTGTGAATTATTGCAGTTAGCCAAGGAGAGCTTTTCACCAATGGACCAAGCTGAACACTCATGGCCTCGTATCCTGAGAAAAGGAAGTTTATGTGATTGTACAGCTGGTTGTTCTGTTTTTTCACCTGTCTGCATGTCATGTCTTCCCACTCAATAACTTTCTGAACATCTTGCTCAAATTCAGCCAAATGTGAGAGTGGAATCATAAGCTCAGTGTTTTTAAAGTTTTATTACCTTCATGCCTATTTATGGACCAACAGAGGAGAGTGATACAAAATAATGTCCTAGCTGGGTGAGTTTGGTTTCTTGGATGGCCAGTCAGCAAACAGTGACTCAAGGCCAAACACAGTTATGTTTGCTCTCTTGCTCAGCCTGGAGATAGGGGACAGGGCAAGGGAAGGCATTAAGGTGCCTTAAGACAGGGAAGAGAGTTGTTACAGTGGAAACGTTGGTTGAAAAACAAAAGAAAGAAAGAAAGAAAAGAGAAGAAAAGAGAAGAAAAATCAGATTTTGCTAGTTTCATGGCTTGCGAAATGCTACGTTCATCTGAGATATTTTCTTAATTTTTTTTTGCTTTTCAGATGTTCTATGTCCAAATGTCCATGTGGAAGGAGACCGATTCAAACACACCACTGGGGAGACTGATGAGATTCCAGGTAAAAAGGCACACTGCCATCCATCTGTGAATTAAAATGGTATAACTGCATGCTTCTGATGATGTGTTCTGATTTGTTAAATGTTTTCTAGTTTGCATTTTGTTAATTCAACACATATTCAGTGATGTAGAAGTATAGCAAAAACTACAGGAGTGGAAAAGAGTTATTTGCTGACAAAAAATTAATCATGAGCTTTCTTGTGATATGGCGGCAAATTAAAAAGGCAGTGGAGCTTAGTGTAGAAGATAGAGGAAGGCAGCATGCCTTAAAGACAATGTTCTTTTTGAATACTCCGTGTTTGGTTAGTTTAGGTATTCATTTATCTGCTCTGTGATTGTTGTGAGATGTCCAAATGCAACGATGATTACCCCTGAAGAAATACTTATATAGGTGTACACAAAGAAAAAAGATGAAAAGCCCCTTCTGAAACACTAGAAAAAAATAGAGAAAAGCAGACCTGGTGATATCTCTGCTTTTCTAGGAACTCTCATAAATCTTTCCAGCCAGATGAAGGACTTA